GCAGCCGTACGCGCCTGCCATGAGGGCTCTGAGAGAATAGGAGATTCGGAGGACACCCGCTGCCTACTGACGCAGTCTGATACCCCCGATCACCCACTCTCTCTCGGATCACTAGCAGCCAGCGCCGATCGATACGTTCCTGTCCACAGCACTGGAGCGCCATTGTAAAGGTAGCGCGTCAACGCGCGACATGTCTGACAATGAGTCGCATCAGCCAGAATACGTCTAAAAACTTAGATGTTTGGAGTCGCACCATGTGCTCGGCTCACGTTTGGAATTACCTGGGCATGAATGTCATGTGCAAAGTTACACTACTGGCCAGCGCTTTATGCACTCGCAAAAGGAAGATGATGAAATCCTTGATGGAGCTCAATCCCTTGGAGGTCACCACTTTTTCCATTTTGGCTCGGTGACGTCATACCAAGGTATATCACTTTACAAACCGTCAGAAAATCTGGCTGATCCTGGGTAGCGTTAGCTAACCGCTAAATGTACACGCAGGTTATGAAGTACCCCAAAAAATTGCGCCTGAAGTTAAAAATGTCGTGAACGCACGCAATCAGGCGTACCGTAACCCTCTAGTTACTCAAGTTTGAGGTACGTTTAAAGCTCGTGTTACGGCTTTTGCACAACCCGGCTGATGTAACTTCTCTTCAACCCCGACCCAAGTGCTTCGGGTGCTAGTTGTTTTTCTCGCTTCACAGACGTTGTACATAACTGGGCGGACCTGAGGGCGGAGGTACCTGCTCGAGCGGCCAGGTACAGTTCTCCACGCCGAAGGATCTGGATGGGTCACGTAGTCCTGCCGCCTGTTGTGTGCATTTACGACAATACACTTAATACCGCACGCAATTTTCGGGATAGTGCATGCCCGTGACAACCTGGACTTATAACCTAGATGTGGGCTGAATGGCCTCGTGTTGAACTCGATCATAAGAACTGTTTCATTATGAAAGCACACTTCTACATACGTAGTAGCCACGTTTGGCCTACACTCCTACAGAATTCACAGCTAATGACGAATGAAAAGCGAGACACTAACTCACGTGGTCATGTTCGGGCTGAAGAACGTGTGCAACGTGCGAACAAACTCGGGTGGAATAGGAAACTTCACACAAATTCCTGGGTAGTTAATACGACGATCGTTCTGGTCTTCAACTGTCAGCGACTGAAAAGAGCCTTTTTTAGGAAGCCATTCTCATGACAGAGTGAGTGATGGCAGGACCTGGATGACACTCCACAGCTGCATGGCTGCTTGCATGACTAAGGGATTCAGCACATCTTCGTCTTCGTCACGATGAGTAATGATAATGTAACCAGCTCGTTTAATATCATACCTATGGGAAGAACTATTAGTTGTGTCTTCTCAACACTTCATTCGTTGTCCGCAGCCTTCACATACACTCGCAGGCACTCCACACTTTCATATCAGCTTTCACATCTCTGACATGAAAATGAAGAGTGCTCGGGAACAAACTAG